GGTGGACTAGGCTTTGCCTGTTCGGATTTTCCGAGAAGTTCGTGTATCGTTGGCCATGCGCTGTCCAACACCTCGTTGATGTAGGCCTCCTCATCCTCCGCGATTTCACGTTCATTTTCGGTGGCATAATTCTCTGCTCTTAATTCACCGCACTTCAGCCTTATGAATAGCTAATTTATCGTTTGCAGGTCGTCCAGTTGTTGTCGAATGCGTTCCGAGTGATTTTTTAAATTCCGTATGCGGCATGCCAGTATAACCTAAGAGCGCAGCTCCCTCTTTGACTAGGATGGTGACCTTTCGTTTCGAAACAGCTCTTATGGCCTTAGCCTCCTTGGCAGATTCAGGCCTGCTCTCAGTCAGGGACGGTTTGACCTTTGCTGCTGCCATAATTTTACACTGTTCTGTGGCGCCCTCTTTCGGTGGTAAGATAAACTGTCCGCAGGATGACCATTCAACGATTCACAACAAAGACAGTCCTCTAAAATACGTCGGTGCGTGGCAACCATGCAGCCGTAACGTTCTCTAATTGTAGGTGTCGTATCAACGGCGTGCAGTGTGGTTATGGGCCGAACCGGCACTAACAGTTACAGTTACAGTTCATCTCTTGTCGTAATTCGGCATTGGCGTGGTACACAGCGTGATTGAATAAACTGTGACTGTGCTTACTTTGAATAATTTGAACACATTGAATAATGAAGACGTGTGTACTCGTGAAACAGTGATATATTATTCAATCGTGGAAGATTCACATTGCCATGAACACGCCGCCATTTCCATTGTTTACAAAAACATAAGCACCCCTAGCGGGCGATACCGAAAAGAAAATGCGTACTCCGGTGGAATGCCGCAACACCACCGCTAGGATGAGGGCGACAGCAAAACTCTTGGAATTGTGAAAAAGCTGCAAAAGGGTTGTAACCTGCTTTGCCACTCTCTCTTTCTCTCTCTCTCTCTCTCTCTCGCCTTCTCTCTCTCTCTCGCTCTCTCTCTCTCTGCAATAAAAAAAATGTTTGGTGAAATGATGTGTACGCAACTGCATATCTGCGTTATGGTAGCTACGCCCCTGCAAGATATGAGACACATACAACTTGATTGATAGTAAAACCTAGCCCCTCTCGTTTCTTTTTCTCTTCTTCCCTCCCTCTTCCCATATGCTGGGCTTCCCGTGTCAAAACGTAACATCAGCTGATGTTTTTGAGCTAATCAGAGGTTGGAGTGATGTTTCCAGTCAGCGGCTAAACCGTAAACGGAGGAATTGCTCCTAATACAACACATACACTACTTGAACAAGAAACTTCGCGAAAGTTAGCATATATTCGGATATTCGTCTCTTAAAATGGATAAACCTCGCAACAAAAAGCCTATATAGACCTACTGGTACTGTGAGCATACTTGCAGTGTGCAAACATCACGAAATGTTCTCATTGAGCCAGAGAAGTGCTACAAATATTGGGATTTCAAAATTACGTCTGATGTTGCTATGTCACACAGCTAACAGCTACGCTAGCACAAATAGTTCCTGGAACGAAAACACTATATTTGTTTCCTTATTGCACAAGTAATATAGATAACGATATTCATGATTTAAACAAATTCCACAATTTTGTAGTACTGAATAAACATATATAATAATGAATTATAACTTGTTTTATTATAGAAAAGAAATATTAACGATCACTCCGCTGTGTCCCGGATGTGTAAACATCACTGTGGCAGGCTTTCCAGCGGCCATAAAATTCCTAAAAATTCCTAAAATTTTGAGCTAGTCCTAAAATTTCTAAAAAACGTTAAAAATGTATAAATTCCTAAAAAAGGGCTAAAATTTTATTCAAATTCCTAAACAAAAAATTCACAGATATGTTTGGAGTTTTTGGTGATGAGATGATGAACTTTTGGTTTGTAATTATGTCTAATCAGTAATGGATGTTTTCTAGTTATCTTTATACAGAGTGAGTATTGTGACTCAGTCTACCAGTGATTCCCAAGCTTCAGTGTCTGATTATACGACCCTGTTCCTGGCTGGATGTACAAGACATGCCTAATTTGCATGAAACCTGATGATGTACAGTCGTATTGAGGACTTGGAGGATAGGAATAGCTGGTAGACTGGACACATACCACATAGAACTGTATCTGTAAGTTAACACGTTGATGTTTATGAAAGGTAAGTGACTTATTTTATCCCTAAAATGTTTCGATTCATCCCTAAAAATCCTTAAAATAGCCCTAAAAAAACAGAATTTCTCCCTAAAATTAGCCCTAAAAAAGTTGTCAAGGACTGCTGGAAAGCCTGCTGTGGTGCTACTTTCGTAAGAGAAGTAATTTCGTTTAGATTTTGAGAAGAAATGTTCTGAAAGTAGCAATACAAATGAGTTCTAGTGAATTTTTGCAACATAGACGAGCTCACAGTAGGTCTATATATGCATTTAGCTGCGAGGTTATGCAACTTTAAGGACCTCTATGAAGAGTGTAAACGTTGTAATCTTTTGAAAATAAACCATCATGTAAGTACAGTCGGTGAGATATCTAATATTGACAGTGTTGAGAAACGTCACGAATTCTATTTTTATCTTCCAATCACAGGTCGGAACAATTCCTCTGTTTAGCCGCATGTCATACACTTACAGCACAGCCCTTGGAATGTTTCAATAAAAGAAATATGGTCAATAAACACGAAATGTATTTAGTAGGTACTAAAGTCTTAATATGTTTCTCTACTGTCTTTCACCTATTATTGCCGATAACTTCTTGTAAATGCCGTTCAAATGCTCCTCTGCAACACACAAGTACACCGCACGCACGCATGCCGCTGTGCACAAGCAACAACAATAAAGAGCAGGTGGGAAAGCGTGATTGCAAAATTCGCACAGCGTTCGCTTCGTTTCACACTAGTATAACAGCATAAATAGACCAACAACAGCTAGCCTCCCTTTTGGTATCTATGCGTAGCTAAATGTTCACGTGTTCGATTTATAACGCCAAGGGGTCGAAATTTGATTTTTATTATGGTATCCATTCGGGATACCAGGTATTGAAATCTGGTATCCCCCCCAAAGATCTGGTATCCCATTTTTTGGATAGTAATTTAAACAATGTTGGTATCCAAAATCTTTAAATATGCAATAATAGCATTTGAAAATTATTAATATGTAATGTAATTATTATATAAAAACATGAAAACAGATTCACAGATATGCACAGACAAGTACACTGCAGACGTATTGTCTGGTTCGCTTGATACAATGTATAGACATCACATTTATGATCAGATCGCGCGCAATTGCTCTACGTGCACTCGCTCAGATGCGCTGCCGTATAAAGTTGATAACTCAACAACCACTATCCCGATTTTGACGATTTTTTTTTACTATCCTGGCGGATACCAAGCATTGAAATCTGGTATCCAACACAAGAATCTACTATCCCGCAGATATCGGGATACCGCTAATTTCGACCCCTGAACGCTGCCTTTTGGTCCTGCCTACTCCAGCCAGAGATATCTCGTGAATTCCGGCACAAAACTTCCACTCCGCGAAATTGTAAATGGGACGAGGTGCCTGTTTAAATATATGCGAATAATGGCGGCGCATTGCATGCCAGGATGAGCTGATGCCTGCCTCCGAGCTCCATTTTGTGGCTCCCAAGCCAAGTATACTAGGCGTGGGCATGATGCCACACATGCGACTAGCAGTGCTGCCACTTTATACTTTTGTTAAAAGTATTATACTTTTTTTTAGAAAATATACTTTTTATACCTTTTTCATACTTTTTTCATGCAAAAACACTTTCACATACTTTTTTTTGCCAAAGATGGTCAAAAGTCTTCTGACTTCGCATTTAGGTACACTATATTAGATGAGATTAAAGATGTGCTTTGCTAGTCTTGTTGCAGAAGTGATGGTGTGCTCTGTTCAGTGGAGTGTTTTTGCTCTCGGGCCTAAATTAAAAAATTGTTTGTTTGCCCTTTTCCGACTCACCATTTTTGTAGTGGGTATAGGTAGGTAGGTAAATTATTTTATTTTATTTTGTTTTCTGAGTAAGTACACATTAAATGTTAGTGTTAATTCAGACTTGTTCATCTGATGTGTTTGTGTTTCCAAATGTATACATTCACCACACTTAGTTTGCATGCATATTGTGTAAGGTATTTCAATAAAAATTTATTTGTATATAATGTTCTATTGACTAGTTTTTTTTTACATGTGTTGCGTTAAGCATGCTGATTTGCAAAGTGAACCCACTGTCCAGATGCTGTGTAATTATGGATCAGAGAAGCATTCTCCCTACAGCTGAAATTATGGTAGAAAACACGTTCGGTCCGGTGGCATCTACAGACTCAGGCTTTGTTTGACTAGTACTAGGCCTACCCGTGATTGTTGATATACTGTGTAAACGTATGCTTGTAGTTTCGTTTCATTGTCCAGAGTGGTTCCGGTATATAAATGTACCTGTCAGTCCCATAATGCATAGCGATGTACTAAAGGTATTCGGAGTAAACATGGCGTAAAGACTTGACTCGGGATCTGTGTTCGTTCCTTTTAATTGCGTTCGAACCTACACGTTATCAACGATGGGGACACACCACACACACACAACAAACAAGCGCTGGAACAGCGCAATATGAGGAAAAGTGAGTCGGCGTTCCAACGGCCATGGCCGAAGCAAATTTTCAGATACCACCACCTTAGTAGAGTGATGTTCTGGCAATGTCCCGGAAAATTTCAAGAAATGGCGTCGCCAGTTAGCAACTCTATTGGCAGCCTCCGTGCGGACGCAAAGGACAAACCAGTTCAAACGGCCTATAATTTTGAACTGTGCAGGACGTATAGTTTCCGAGATCTATGATCAGTTAACATGGGGAGAGGCTGGGGACAAAGATGACCCCGTGAAAGTGTTGGACGCCTAGGCGACATATTGTAACCCCCGTAGCAACGAGGTGCTCGAGTCACACAGATTTTGGAACGCACCGTTTCAAGATCCGTTCGACAAATTCTTGACAGATTTGAGGACACGTGCATCGATGTGCAACTTCAAGGAAACTGACAGGATGCTACGAGACAAGATCGTTTTCAGCGTAACTGGTAAGCTACAAGAACTGTTACTACGTGAAGAGAAATTGACACTTGACAGAGCTATCACGATATGTAGAGCGTTTGAACGGTCTAACAAACATGTGAAGGAAATTCGTGATGCTACTTCCGGTGCACAGAGGGTAAATAAAGTTGGCCCTAGGCCTAGGCCCTAGCCCTAGGCCTGCTAAAGAGAAACATCAGAATGCACACAGAACACCGGAAAGGTAATAGGCCTGCAGACAAATCGAACATAATTAACTGTGATTTTTGTGGCTATGACCACGAGAGAGGGAGAGAGAAGTGTCCGGCTTGGGGACAAATATGTGACAAATGTAAGGGGAGAAACCACTTCAGGAAAAAGTGTAAGAGGAGGGTACATGCTGTAGCCCAATCCCCTGAATATGATGAGGAACATGATGAAGCGTGGTTGATGGCGTTCAAGAACAAGAAGGAACATGTTGCAGCAACCATGCTAGTGAATGACAATAAAGTGAAGTTCCAATTAGACAGTGCGGCGGACGTCAACACGATTTGTCAGAAGCATGTGAGAAAAGACCAAGTCGGCCCAACCAAAATTCAGTTGAACATGTGGAACAAGACTAAGGTGAAACCTCGTGGACAATGTACTCTGAAAGTCAAGAACTGTCGCACGAACGAAGAATCAGATGTCGTTTTCATCGTGGTTCCAAATGGACTGACCAATCTGCTTGGTTTGAAGACCATTCAGGATCTTGGTTTTGTGACCATAAATGAAGATTGTTTCATCTCTCAGGTCAAAACTCCACAACTTGGTGATATAGGGGAAGCCACCCTGACCATCGACAAGACAGTACCCTCGAAAGTACTCCCATGTCGGAAGATACCTATCGCTATAGAGGAGCCGGTGAAGGAGGAGCTAAACAGACTAGTCGACAAAGGTGTTTTAGTTCCAGTGACTGAACCCAGTGAGTGGGTAAGTCAGATGGCCGTTGTGCACAAGTCTAACGGAAAACTGCGTTTGTGCATAGACCCCCAGCCATTGAACACCGCCCTGAAGCGTGAACATTACCGACTATCTGTTCTTGACGACGTCCTGCCAAAGCTGAAAAACGCACGTGTGTTCAGCAAGTTAGACATACAGGAAGCATACTGGCATGTTCGACTAGACGATGCATCGAGCATTCTCACAACAATGATCACACCATTTGGTCGCTATAGATGGACCAGACTACCTTTTGGATTGAAGGTATCTTCAGAAATCTTCCAACGGAAATTGGATGAAGCCTTGGGTGATCTAGACGGTGTGTTCAGCATTGTGGATGACATCATTATCGCCGGATGTGGTCGAAGCCAAGAAGAAGCGGAGCGTGACAACAAGAGAAAACTGGAGAAAGTCTTGCAGAGGTGTGCAGAACAGCACATACTCCTGAACCCAGACAAGCAACAGACGGGCCTCAGAGAAATTGTGTTCCATGGACATCGAATCACCAGTGAAGGTGTAAAAGTAGACGAGTCGAAGGTACAAGCAGTGCGTGACATGCCTGCACCGACTGACATTGCGGGTGTTAGACGTCTGTGTGGGATGGCCCAATATATGTCCCGGTTCGTCCCAGATTTGGCCGGAACACTTGAGCCACTCAGAGCCCTGACACGGAAAGGCACAGAGTTCATCTGGTCGCCAGAGTGTGTGAACGCATTTACAACTCTGACAAGAAGCCTGACCGAAGCTCCATGCTTGGCATACTTTGATGTATCTAAAGAAGTAGTGATACAAGTGGACAGTAGTCAACATGGTCTTGGCGCTGTACTCTTGCAAGATGGCCGTCCAATAGAGTACGCATCGCGTGCACTGACACCCAGTGAACAGAAGTGGGCACAAATCGAGAAGGAAGCTTTGGCAGTTTTGTTTGGTCTGGAACGTTTTGACCAATACACCTATGGCAGACCAGTAAAGGTGGAGAATGACCACAAGCCACTAGCCTCAATCTTGAAGAAACCACTCAGCATGGCGCCAAAGAGACTCCAAGATATCATGATGAGATACAACCGATATGACGTCGAGTTTGTGTTCATAAAAGGCGTGAACTTGGTATTGGCAGACACACTCAGTCGAGCACACCTGGATTCTCAACAGGGAAATCATGACGATCGTCTACGCATCATGGCAGTGCAAGTGTTTGGCAATATACCTGATGCACGTCTCGAGGAGATTCGAGAAGCAACAAATTCTGATGACAGTTTACAAGTCATCATTGAGCTGATACGTGAAGGATGGCCAACTGAGAAGACGAACATTCCTTCTTGTGCATTACCATATTTTGACCTCCGTGATTCACTAAGTTGTGTGGACGGAATTATAGTCAAAGGTGAAGCAATTGTAATCCCATCAAAACTGAGACCGAGTATAAAGGCGAGACTCCACAGCGCACATTTGGGCTATGACAGTATGTTGAGACGAGCCCGTGGAACTGTATACTGGCCAGGGATGGCTGGTGACATAAAACAATTAGCTGACACATGCGAAACATGTCAAGAAGGAAAGCCGAGAAACTCGCGAGAACCATTGCGACAGCATGAAGATGGAGATGCCCCCTGGCAAAAGGTGGGAATGGACTTATTTGAAGTTCTAGGGAAACACTACTTAGTGGTCGTCGACTACTATTCAGGTTTCATAGAAGTTGAGCCAGTAGAATCAATGACAAGTGCCAGAATTGTGAAGATTCTAAAGAGACAATTCGCAAGATTTGGAATACCACAGCTGATTATGTCAGATGGTGGTCCGCAATTTGTTAGTGCGGAATTCAAACATTTTGTCGAGACATGGGGAATCAGACACGAGACATCGTCTCCCATGCACCAAAGTGCCAACGGCAAAGCGGAAGCAGCCGTGAAGGTGATGAAAAATCTTCTCACGAAGACCCAAAAGGATGGAGGAGATCCGTATGAAGCGATACTGGAGCAACGTAATACACCCCGTCAGGATATATTGCTCAGCCCAGCAGAAATGATGTTTGGTCGGAAAACAAGAAGTTTTCTGCCAAGCATAAACCGACAACCCACAGACAAAAGAAAGGTGGAAGAAAGACGACTCCTGAGAAAGAAGTCCGTAAAGAAACATCATGACGCGAAAGCGAAGAAACTCTCAACGTTGAACGTCAACGACACAGTATTCTTCCAACACCTGGAAGGAAGCATGCAGTGGAAACCCGGAAAGATTGTGAATTCCCCGTGGGTCCCAGGACGTACGAGGTGAAAGGTCCCGATGGTGCTATTTATAGGCGGAATCGCATACATATGAGACCAACGATGATCGACACGACACCAAAAATACGTGACAGATCCCCCTATCGGAGCATCATGCGCGAGGAGAATGCCGTTCCGGTAACAACCAGTCCTGATAACTCGACTACAGTGGTGACGAACATGCAGGAAAACTCAAATGACAGTAGCACTGGTACTAGTGAGAACAAGCAAGAACTGGTAATCAGTACTCCCATACCAGAGAGTAATGCAAATTTCAGACCCAAACGAGCGGTGAGAAAACCCTCTTATCTGACTAGAGTGACTATGTTCAGTAACTTTCATGCATGGTATACTCGTGTACTACAAGTAGTGGACATGACATGTGAATATGTTTGTGTTTTCATGTTTAGTATTTCATATCAGTGAAAGTGGAAAAGACTTGTACTGAATTTGACAGTGAGTTAATTTTACAGTGAGTTTTGTTAATCAGTGACAATATTTGAAGCATCGTGAATTTGGTGCAAAGACTGAAGTTTATTTGTTATATTTCACGTAATGTTTGGTTCACAGTGCAGAAATTCAATAACGTGCATTATTGTTACATTTAGCTTTATGGTAAAGTTTATTTTTCTTTTAAAGTTCTAGAAATACTTTAAACCTAAAGAAAAGGGGATGTTGATATACTGTGTAAACGTATGCTTGTAGTTTCGTTTCATTGTCCAGAGTGGTTCCGGTATATAAATGTACCTGTCAGTCCCATAATGCATAGCGATGTACTAAAGGGATTCGGAGTAAACATGGCGTAAAGACTTGACTCGGGATCTGTGTTCGTCCTTTTATTTGTTGAACCTACACGTTATCAACAGTAATATCTACCACAATTTTAGCATATTTTAAGTCCTTTTCAAATTCATAAGTTGTTGATATTGGATCATCGTAGTGAGCTTCAAAGCTCTCTGTACCAGTTCTTGTTCTCAGCGAAACTTTGACGTGCCCGCCGCCCAAGGCATCGTCCACTTCTGTGGATACATTGACACCGCCGGTTACAAGATCGACAACATCTATCCACCTTTGCTTAATTGATTTTTTTATTATTCTATTTGTCACCAACTTTGTCGTGATCTTGCTCCATCGACACGCATAAAAGAATCAATCATTTGTAAAAAAACGAGTCCGTACGTACCGTAATAAAACGCTTACGTACGCTTACGTACGTAACGCTTAGGCCAAACAAAAAAATACCTTTGGTTCGGGTCACATGGATTGTGAAAATTAGGGTAGGTAGGTAGGTATTAAAAAAAAAAATTTCTTTCCTGCAAAAACATGGGTAGGTAGGAATATAATTTTTTTTCTTTTCACAAGTTAAATATAGGGTATACAGCTTGAAATGCAGGAGCCACGAGATGCAAATGACTTGCAGCTGCATGTACCATTGCTGCAAGTCATGACATTGTTTTTGTGACAGCCAAAGAAGACAGAGGACAAAAATTGTAAACTTCACAAGGAATGGAAAGGGTAGCCCAGTCCCAAGTTTGGGGAAAATGAGGGCTACCATTGTACAAAGTCTTTCTTCAGGACAGAAGATTCAGGAATGCCAATTTGGATCCCACAACCTGATATGGTGTCATCTGGAATCAGAGATTGGGAAGGAGAGGACGAGACTCGTTTGTCAAGACATGCCAAACCAAAAACACTAGAACCCCAAAATTGTGGACTGGCAGATCCAGAAGAGCAGGAAGAATAAAATACATGGACACAGACAAAATTCTGAATCTGAAAATACTCTGTGGATATTGTGTATTAATTCTCTTGATGGACATCCATACATAGTACTACATGGACATTTTCAAATGAGTAAACTTTTTTTCTGTAGGGCATCTCATTTCAATACATTTTTATTAGGGGTGTAACGATGCATCGAACTATCGATAACTATCTATATTTTTTGTCTCGATGGCAATGCATCGATGGTAAAGTGAAACACGATATTTATCGCAGATAGTATACTAAACAATCGATATTTTTCGATTGTTGCAAAATGTGAACACCTGGATAGTAGTGTTAGGAATCGCTTCAAAAACGGAGCTAGATTAATTGTCCCTTTGAACGAGCGAGTAACCGAAGTGTGAACGGCTCTGCGGCTGCGTATAGCACGATAGCATGCGTATACTAGCCTCGTCTACACGACGAACCTTAACTCAAGTTAAGCTAACTCGAGTTAAGCGTTAACTCGAGTTAGCGATTATGTAGCGTCTACACGACGAACCTTAACTCGAGTTAAGCTAACTCGAGTTAGCGATTATGTAGCGTCTACACGACAACACCCGATAGCGATTATTACCGATTTATTATTCGTGCGTGCGTGCGTGCGTATGTAAACGTGCGTGCGTGCATGCGTGAGTGCATGCGTTATCATTTTCACTGATTTGTTTATTTATATTATTATATAATTTTATATTATTATTGAATTTTATTTATTGTCCACGTGTTTTTTCACTAACCTACGTATTTTTTGTACGCAACCTTCCTGTACAATATATGAGTTCCTTTTTATGGTATTAAATAATTAATGGCATCTACTGTGATAATTTCGCTATGCTTACATATGTGAAAAGTCTTTTGTTTTTGTTTTGTATCCTCCGCATTCTTTGCTTCTTCCTGCTATGTTTTGTTGTTATTAATTTGATCAATTTATGTTTGAGCTTGTTGAATGTTTTAACTTGATGTATCTTGCATAATCCTTAAAGTTGTACAGTATCTCCTTGCTCATTCTATATTCATTGTATATTTGTTTCATTACATATTTGTTTACCTACACTTTTTCTCATTGATTTAAACTGCTTGGCTATTACTGCTTGAATTTGACATAACGTGCTCTCCACTTAATTGCTGCTTATATGAAATTCTTGCATTACCATTATGTTATTCGGCGCTGTTTACGTTTAATCTACCCTTGGGGGTGGCAGACTAGATGACTTAAGTGTCCTTCGCCACTCCGTGCTTAACTGATTAAAATTGACTTCTTACATGTAATTATGTTTCTTTTATAAGCGATGTACTTCTGTATTTATGTATGTCTTAGCACAAATAACCTGTTTTCAATCTTCATCTTCAATGCGTGCGTGCGTCGCATGTGCAACGTACACGTGGCGTGCGTGCGCACCTACACGTGCGTGCGTGCGTGCGTGTGTACCACTCTACAGCGTGCGTGCATGCGTGCGTGTGCACGCACACGTGGCGTGCATGAGTGCAGTGCGGTGCGTGTAACGCTGGCGTGCGTGCGTGCGTGTGTGAAGCGCGTGTGCATGTGGGCACGTAGACGTGGCGTGTGGCGTGCGTGCGTGCGTGTTACGTACACGTGGTGCACGGTCACGATCCGTGCATGCGTGCGTGTGTATACACGTGCGTGGCATGCGGTGCGTGTGACGTACATCCGTGCGTTGCATGACGTGCGTGGGCGTGCGGTTGCCTCTACACGTGCGTGCATGCGTGGTCGTGGGCGACGGGTGGACCGTGCGTGCATCGCGTCGTGCGTGCGTGTGTCCTTACACGTGCGGTGCATGCCGTGGTTTGCACGTACCGTGATGCCGTGCAATTGCGTGCGTCGCGTGCCCGCGTGGGAACGTACACAGTGCGTGCGTGCGTGGCCGTGCGTGCTTGTGTAGGTACAGCGTTGTGGGCATGTGTGGTTGCGTGCGTACGTGCGTGTGTGTGCAGGTACACGAGTGCGTGCGTGCGTGGCATGCATGTGCCCGTAAGACGTGGCCGTGCGTGGTGGCGTGTGCACGTGCAACGTACACGTGCGTGCAAGTAGCGTGCGTAGCGTGCGCGTGGACGCTGTACCCGTGCAGTGCGGTGCAGATCACCGTGGGCGTGCTGTGTAGGTACAAACGTGTGTTGCATGTGTGCGTGCGTGCGTACGTGGCGTGTGTGTGTAGGTACACGTGCGTGCCGTAGCGTACATGCAATGTGCAACGTAGACGTCGTGCGCCGTGCGATGGTGGTGTACCTAAACACGTGCGTGCATGGCGTGCGTGTGCACGGTAGCACGTGGCGATGCATGGACGTGCGGCGTGCGGCGGTGTGTAAGCCTACACGCGGAGGAGTGCGGCATGCGTGTGCGTGTGCAACGTAACACGTGCGTGCATGCGTGAGCGGTGCGTGGCGCGTGGGACGTTACACAGTTGCGTGAGCGTGCGTCGCGTGCTGTGCTTGTGTAGTAACACGTGTGGCTATCGTGTTGCGTGCGTGCGTTAGTGCGATGTGTGTTGCAGGTAGGCACGTGCGGGTGCGTGCGTGCATGCATGTGCACCGTAAGATAAGTGCGTCGTGCGTGCGTGTGCAACGTAACACTACACGTGCGTGCATGCGTGCGTGCGTGCGCGTGACGGCTTACACAGGGTGCGTGCGTGCGTNCGGGCCACCCCTCTTTCCTGCCGGGTGGTGTTTTTCCGCCCCTTACAGGGTTAGGGCTTGAAAAAATAATTTTTACTTGCACCTACCTCTGTTGCTGCGACGACCTCTTAAATGTTACGAATCCGAAGCCGCGCGACCGCTTGGTCGCCGCGTCGCGCATGACGACGCATTTGACGATTTCGCCCCATTGATCAAAGTAGGCCTTCATGCTTTCATCGGTCGATTTCCGATTCAAGCCACCGACAAAGAGCTTCGTGCCCTGCTCATGCTCATAATCCTGGAGGAGGAATCGCAAACACGTCAAGTACGAGATGGAGGAGGAGGAGGTGGTGGTGGTGGTGGTGGCGGCGGCGGCGGCGGCGGCGGCGGCGGTGGCGGTACTCCTTCAGATGCGATTCTCCGGTGTCATCGTGAATGCCACGAACAAGGATCCTCTTCACTGCCATATAAGCTCTGGCTTCCTCGACTCTATATTACAACTACAGTATTGACAGACAGGGAATTACAATTATTAGCGCATACACCAGTGTACTGCTAACAGCTCATTCACTAGTTGAGGTAAATGACCAGTCTTTTTATGTATAAACCGTTGAT